AAGAAGAAGAAGAAGAAGAAGAAGAAGAAGAAGAAGAAGAAGAAGAAGAAGAACAACAACAACAACAACAACAACAACAACATTTTTCATAAGATGATGTTGTCTTTGAGCAAAGGTTAGCAAAATAATACCAGTCTTTACGCAATTGCTATCACAGTAAACAATAAATGCCTCACCATTATTGGGTTAGGAGATACATAACGAGGGTGTTCTTCCTGGAGTGAAACTGACAAGAGGTCTTTGCCACTTCTCATCATTATATCAAGTTTGTTAGTGACCGTACTCTTATGTGGAATCCTCTACGTGAGGTCATTCCACGCTAACTGACCGGACATTTGGTCTATACTTTCTTACAATGATAGAGTAATAACTCTGTAATTCATTATCAATTAATTTGTTTCAACTTTAAAATATCACAACACTTGAATAGCATAATGTTAAGAATCGTGTAAAATGCATTTATTTGATTTTGTTTAAAAAGTACTTCATTCAAAGTGTGTGAGTTGTTTAGTTTCGGTATCTGACGGGAGAGATGGGGTATTTGTTTTTGTCTCGTCAGTTTCCACGGAATAGCCCGTAAACAATTTTCGGACGGGACCGTTTATCCGTCTTATTGGCGCCAATCAGCACCGACTGTGAAACATAGTTACGAAAGCGTCATTATCGACGTGACGTAAAGGTGGTCATCCAAATAGGCGAGGAAAATCCCGGACAAATGTGTCACGACGCGGTGGTATCAGGCGCTCGTCAATTATTGAGCATAATATGGAGTTATTGGTACCACGAGAAGGGTGTTCATTTGTCATGCTTTTGAATGCTAAATACCCATGTATTGTGAATAGAAATTGAGATATTTTGACGATTAAAGGAGGTGGAGATCCTCTGGTCTCTGAGGTAAATTTAACGAGAAAATGGCCGCGATAGTCTGGTGACTTTCATAGCCTGAGAGTCCTTGAAAGTGTAAATTTACAATTTTTTGTGCCTTTAATCGGCAGTGTTTTGTAAAACATTAAATGTGTTGATTTAAAAAACAACAACAAAGAGAATGCCTGTTTCTTTGATTTTATTATTTTGACGAGCGCCTGATTTTACCATGATGCCTCACACAATGCTTTTCCTTCACACTCGATGAGTTTGCTTTTAGGGTTATGAAAGATGCTGCTGGGAAAATTCACAGGAAATAAAACTGGTTACATGTTGTCAGTACAGAGCGTCATTGACCTGAGGACAAACTCACAATGGGATGGGTTATGAAAAAGCATTGGCTAGTTGTGTTTGAAAGAGCCAACCTAAACGAAGCTCCAACAATACCACAAAACAAATCAACCAAACAACTAACTCCCCCCCCCCCC